TGGTGTAGAGTTAGGGTGCTGGCCAAAAAACTAGGAAACTGAGTTCTAGTCCCGCCTTAGGCATGAAAGCTGACTGGTGACCTTAGGCCAGTCATTCTCACTCAGCCCAACTCACCTTACAGAGTTGTTGTTGGGGCAAAAAAGGAGTATTATGTTATGTTTGCTATCTTAAATTGTTTATAAAAATAATAAAGGCAAGGTAAAAATCTAATAAATAAATAAAATATAGAGAAGCATTTAAGCTTATCATCAAAACAGAAATCAAAATAACTTATCTTGTGATAATAGTGAGACTAATTTCACAAAGCTTCCGTCCCTCCCAAAGCAAAGATATAATTTTTTAATTCTAATTCTAATATATTTTTATTCTAATATATTTTTCTTCTGCCTAACAGAGGGAGAATTTGGGGGCAAATTGAAAGGTGGAGAACATGGTCTGGAGACACGAAAGCTGCATATTATAAGCTTGACTACTAAGATTATGATGACTTGAGTCAGTGCTTTTACATCTAGTATTCTCACTGTCCAATGTAATCATGAGTTTCTGCCCTTTAAATACAGCTAGTGAAAGTAAATAGTATTATCTTGTGACTGACTATTCAAAGTACCTTCACTGCACCTTGAAATACATGACCTAATAAAAACATCAGTAATTCTAGCTTAACACAGTTGTACCCAATCTATTGGAAATACCTTGAACGGCTGTTTAGCAATACACCTTGTTTTATAACTTAAAGTTTCAATTACAGAAATACTGTATAATTAATATTCATCTCATGCTATTTGTTAGATTTCTATCCTGCCTTTCCTTCAGGAACTTTAGGTGTACACATAATACTCTCTCCTCCATTTTTTTCCTTACCACACAGGATTGTTGAGCTATAATATTTGTGAACTTTATGGTTGATGGTAGTCTTCTTCCTGGGATTCCCAATTCCTAGTCCAACACTTTAACAATTCTTTCTGGCTAATGAGGAGCTGAGATAAGGGAGCTGCTACTCTATGTTAGCTCCTTTATGTTTCATGTTTAGGCTGTACTTAGTGCCCTCTGGTAAGTTATGTAGTTATAGGAGCATGTAAGTAGGCAGCATAATGGCGGTAATTCCACTCCCCCCCTCCCCGGTCTGAACTTAAATACCATAAAGTATGATGAATTCAGTGTTAAACTCTTTAAAACCCTACTCATTTTAAAAGAAGAGTTAGTTATCAGATTCATCAGTGATAATTAAATATACTTGCATTTGTCAAACTAAGGACACAAGAATAGAAACAGTAAAACAGCTTCCTTCTGATCCAGATTTAATATTGTGTTTAAAGAGCTGCATTCTATGTGTAAAATGTGTGCCATCCCTTTCTGTTTTACTTGTTTGTTGTGTAGGGCGGGGGATCTCCTCCTCCCAATTTCAATATGTGAATGCAATTTTGTTTTCAAAAATGAAAAAATGCAACTGCGTGTTTTGTTACAACGTGTCTTCCTTTTTTTCCCCCCCTGATTCCAGCTATTTGGGTGTTTTTTGGCATGGGAGACTCGAAATGTGAGCATTCCTGCTCTGAACGACAGTAAATATATTGGCATGAGTGTTTATAATGTGGGCATCATGTGCATCATTGGAGCTGCTGTTTCCTTTCTTACACGAGACCAGCCCAATGTACAGTTCTGCATTGTGGCACTAGTGATTATATTTTGTAGCACCATTACCCTCTGCTTGGTCTTTGTACCTAAGGTAAGTAACCTGATTTGTAATGAATGGTTTTATTTGCATATGATTTTGTACAGCAGTTAGGTGGTTGTCTCCATTATGAAGTTGCTTTTGAATGAGGAGGAACAATGCAAAAGGGAACACTTGGCTCAACTTCTTCTATAAGGTGAGAGCCAATAGAATGTTATGGTTAGAGCAGAGGTCCCCAACCTTTTGGGCACCAGGGACTGGTTACGTGGAGAGAGGTTTTTCTGTGGACCAGAGGGGGTGTGGTTTTATGTGTTGCCTGCATCCTGCGGATGGGGCTTTGCTTGTTTGTGCGGATCGGTTGCTGGCATGCCGTGGCCTGGTACTGGTCCACAGACCGGGGGTTGGGGACCCCTGGGTTAGAGCATAACAGTGTGTTTTGTGTCTCGAGTTGTGTATATTAAAAGGCTAGAAATCATAATCATAACCATGATTGCCCGTATTAAGTTTGATCGTTATTTCACAATTATCTGTAATTCTAGACATAGGAAGGAAAGACCTGTATTACTCTATGGGTGGAAAAAATTAAGACTCTAGTAGCACCTTTTCCAATTAAACAAATTTTATTGAAAGACATAACCCTTTCTGAGCTGCATCTCACTTCATCAGATGCATAGAGTACATGCATAGATGGATGCAATGAGGTAGTAAGGAATCATAGTAGTACTGAGGCTACTTGCATGGGTTTCTGCAAAGCTCAGTGGTGCAATAAGAATTTTTTGCAAGTTGGGGATGGGATTATATGTAGCTGAATAATTTTAAGACGTGTATGTGGAAAATGAGGGGATTGCTGCTGAAAACTTCAAACTTGATACTTGAATTATCTGTGTGCTCGATAACCTTTGTTTTTATAGTGTTAAGGGGTGGAGGGGCAAAGATAGCTAATGACTCAATCAATATCCTTGAGGATTATCTCATTGCTGTTAAAATTTTCAGTTAATTACTCTGAGAACAAATCCAGATGCTGCCACTCGGAACAGAGGGCTTCAGTTCACCCAAAATCAGAAGAAAGATGATTCAAAAACATCAACATCTGTCACCAGTGTCAACCAAGCCAGCACATCTCGATTAGAAGGGCTACAGTCAGAGAACCACCAGCTTAGAATGAAAATAACAGAGGTATTACCTGCTCTGATTGTGTCCTGTTGTCTTTGCATGCAAGCTCATTTGGTACAGCCAGGAAGCCATTCACATTTGGAGTCAAAACAGATGAAATATAAAGAACCACATTTTAAACTGCCCATGTTTTCCTTTCTATGTAACCCCCCCCCCTCCATATTGGGCATTGGCCTCATGAATGTAGAGAATTTGTCCATTTTTTTAGAATAGACTTCTCATTCCTACTTCCTAATACTGCTGTTGCCCTCATCAAATGTAGAATGTATTTTTAGGTATGAACTGATAGAACTTTCAGCCAGGATTTTTTAATCATCCATTATTTTGCTGATACTATTTATTGCTAGCATTACTTGTAATTGATTTTCTATACTTTAAGAAGTAAGACATTTTAAAAATAAAACCATGTTATTGAGCATTGACTCATTTTTAGTATAATAAAAGCAGAGTTCATAACCCACCAGGGCCATTTTTTAACATCTTAATTCATATGTACTCTAGTGGGAATATTTTAATTATTCTTTTAAAAGGTGTTTAATGTAATGTGCAATGACAAAATCCAGCACACTGCTAAAATGATACATAACAGAAAGGCTATGGCCATGTTTAAATGAAATGATTAGTGGAATTGCTGAAAATTCTGATTTATCATTCATCTTCATTTGGCTCTTCTCACCAGCAGCAGAGACTAATCTAGTCAGAAGATAATGAGAAAGCAAACATTTTCATTTATCTGCATCTGTCCAGTACAGTCCAGCAGGGTGGGTGCACTCTGGGCCCCATCAATTAAAGCAGACATGTCAAACACAAGGCCTGGGGGCCAGATGCCCCGAAGTGGTTTCATGTGGCCCGCAAAGCCATCCTGGAAACAGTGAGGGAACGGCCCCCGTTGCCTTGGCCCTGGCCCTGGCTGCGTTTCTTGCCTGTTTTTCTCCCTCCCTCATCTCAAATATTTTCCCACCACTCTGTACTTAGGAAGGAAGAAAGGAAAGAAGGAGAAGGAGGGTCTGAGGGAAGTCCTGCCTTAGTCTGGTCCTGCTGCCCTTTTACCATCCCCTTGCCCCCTCCTCCTGGCCTATCCTGGGGTGTCCCATCCTACTGCTAAGGAAGCTTTGGATACAAAGCCGGGTCTCCTCCCATGGAGAGGGAATGGGCCTCCCTCTGACTTTGCCCTCGTACCCATTATGAGCAACCTGGCTAAGGAGAGCAAGCACAGCAGCAGCAGCCTTGAGGAGGAGGTAAGTGCAGCTGGGCACCCCTTGGGGAAGTGGGGCTGGGCTTGGTGCTGTGGGTGCTTGAGGGCCAGGCTGGGTGTTTGACCTCTGCTGCCTAGGGCTCCGGGCAGCCCGCACCACCATCCAGCTCCCCCACATGGCCTGAGAGGAACGGTGAGGCTCCTCCAGTGGACCATGCCTTGGCACTTGCCCGGGTCCCACCCCTTTCTGCCAGAGACCCTCAGATCTGTCCCACTCCTGCCCAGGCCCCCACAGGCCCCCTTGACATGAACGATGTAGAGCTGGCCATGCCCACCCAATAGTCCACACCCACTCCACACCCACCCAGTAGGCCGCACCCAACCTGGCCGTACCCACCCGGCCCCCCAAGGGCAACTGCAATGCTGATGCAGCCCTCAATGAAATTGAGTTTGACACCCCTGAATTAAAGAATGTAATCTTGCAGGACCCAGGAAGCACACCTACTATGTTGCAATTCCTGACCTCTAGAATGATTCCACTTCCCGAGATTTCAGGAAACAATTGATTTCCTGGAAAACAGGAAAGAGAAACTTGCTTCAAATCCAGTTTTTAGGACAGAGAGAGTGGAGTAATGGCAGCCCAAACCGATCAACTACCTAAGATAGAGGGCTGCTGCTATATATTTTCCTGCCTTTATGTGCCTGCTATCACAAGACCACTCCCAGGCAATACCAAATTCTGAAAAGTTCCTGACAGCAAGGATTTGGATTTAATTCCTAGTCCAGAAAACTGCATGGGTATGTGATTGCAGCAGTAGCATTTCTCAAAGTGAAGTATTGGTGTGAGTAGTCTTGTTCTGAGCCTTCAGAGCAAAGTTGTGGGGTAGGCCCCTGATCTTTTTCATTCCCCGTCTGCTTCTTGAGTGGGCTGCCACCCTACTCTTGCTGGTCCTGAACAGATGTGTTTTGCATTTATATAATGCAAATAATTGACATACAATAATCACAGTAGTTCTTATGATGCATTCTAAGATTGCAGGACATAATTAACTTCCCCAAGTATCAGATAAAGAGCATAGTGAGAGAATATTGACTTTCCCAATCAATCTGCTTTCCTGATGCAGAAGTCCAGTTTCCAAGCACGTTGTTTATGACCGTTATCCATTTTGCAGTCAACTGGTGGTGGGATGGTAGATCTGGGTATATCACTGGAGAGTTGATTATACAAAGAAAGATAAATTTTCATTTATCCCTTAGCCACTTTAACTTGGTACAAAAACACCCATTGAGAGAAAGAGAAAAAAAAATAGATGATAGATTATGTACCATCAATTTGATGTCTAATGCTAACCAGCCAACTCAAAGTACAATACTACTCTTTTTTCCTATAACAAAGTGGGGGAGAGGAGAGTAAATGGAATACAATATTACAATATTGTACAATATTAAATACAATATTAAAAAGGGCTTCCTTAATTTAAATCTGGCAGAAAAAAAAATTCATAACTACACCACAATGAGTTTATACACATGTCTCAAAGATTCTTACACTAACCAATCTTCATAATTGAATGAGATTTTACTGATAGCTTTCTCCTCTTCCCCAGTTGGTACTGCATCCTAGCTGGAACACTGGAACACTGCCATTTTAAATAACTGGTAATAATAGAATGGAGCAGAAATTTGTATACTCTTCCCAAATCTATCTCACCAAACTCAAGTGGACCATAACGTTCCAAAATTTAGTTGGATTGCAATGAAGTTTAATTGCACTGACATAGTGATTGGACTATTTATTATATGGAGTTTGCTGCTGGCCATCTGCTAGATCTGTGGCATCATGTAGGAACATTCTTCAGAAAATACAGTAGTGGCCAAAATTGTGGAAACCTTTTGGGAAAAGTGTATTTTTGAGGTTTGATGGCTAATAACACCACTTTTTTGGGAGTAGTACCATAAAATTATATATCAATGGAAAGATAATTTAATCAAGAATGTAATGTAACAAAGTTTGTTCAATTATCTGTACTGTATTCTATGAAAAATTATAGCCAAATAACCAGAAAAAGGAAGCACAACTTGCTTCGGTTGATATCAGGTAGCTTTCCTTCATCTGATTGTAGCCAATGAGCATGAGTGTTTAGAGAGCCAATCAGGTGTCATCTTGTTTTGGCAATGAGCCAATCAGATCACAGTAGGATTCAGTTATTGATGTCATGTATTGAAGCTGAGAGGAGGACATTTGTCAGTGTGTTATGTTGATCGCTATCAAGTTGGTTGGGGTTTTTTCCCTTTCATTTAGTGAGCTTGTAAAACGTAATAAAATTAAAGTAATGGTGTAAAGAGTTGACTGGTTGCCCAGAAAGCAATGTAAAATAGTATTATTAAGTGAACAAGGCTACAGTTATAAAGAAATTAGAAGAAAAATTTGTGGAAACTTAACCAAAGGTGGCATTTCTACTGTACACTTTTCCCAAAAAGTTTCCACAATTTTGGCCACTACTGTATGATTACTTGAATTTGCTTTGGCTTTCATTTTAGATTAAAAAATGTATTTGTTTTAATCTGGTCTACCATTTTACATGTTTTTACACATATGCACACACACAGGATATGTACTATGTAAAGCACACGTACATAGCCCAAATGAGACAGTATGGAAGTCATGTAAAAACCTTGTAAATGAGAACATGATATAATATTCATATCTGTCTAGTATGACAGGTGAAGTAAAGGAAAGCGCTAGACCACATATCCCATTCTAAAGGTAATGTTTTTAAAAGCATATGTAGGAAGCCATGGAGATGGCCTTGGATAACAAATCCAGAAGTCATTAGGTCAACAAGTAGATTTGCAAGATTGTGTCGCTAAAAGAGCATAGTTCTAAATTTCCCTTGGAGTAAGTTTCCTACTCCGGTCTATCTTGTAGGGCTAATTGAATGTTTGGTGTGTTTTTGCATACACACACTTAAAAATCTACTGTATTTATCTACTTTATTTATCCCTTAATGAAAATGAGTTTTCAGTTTTCTTTTTAGGCCAAGTTAGTAAAATTATGAAGCAAGAACTTCTGCACACTTGATATCAAGAATTGCAAGTAGGAAGGGCTTGTCATTCCCTCCCTGCCAGTCTCACAGCAATGGAGAGGAAAAATTCAATAGATGTTGCCATTCCCTTATTTCCCTCAGTGACTTCACTAGGGACAAACTCTCTTAATAAATGTTCTTCTGCTCATGAGAGAAATCACAGTTCATAATCATAAGCCTTTATTGGTGACTGTTCAGCCTTTGAAAATGTCTACCAAGAGAAGCTAGGATAGCTTTATCTCTGCATCCTTCCACCAGGCAAATATGTTTTAAAACACACACACACACACAATTTAGTATTTGCTAAGTTACTGCTGAAGTGCATTAGGTTTTAATTTGATGGGCTGTTGCCTATTTTTATTGTTTTAATTTAGAGAATTTTAATGTTTTAATTTTAACTCTGTTGATTTATATACGGTTTACTGTGAGCTACCTTGAAGATTATTTTTAGCGGAAAGATGGAGAATGATGAAATTCAGCCATGCCAGAAGAGATTTCTTAATATTCAAATCTTAAAGTAATTTCGCATGAGAGGTTTAAATGCACTTCAGTTTCTTTTGCATTGCTTAAGTTAATATGATGGCTCTTGTTATTTATTAATTCATTTGTAACAGGAAGCTGAGGAGAAATATTTGAAGCTTAAATGAACATCTCAGCTAATTTAGGTTTTACAATCACATTACAAAGTTAATTAAAGCTAGGGCCACTTCACTCTTCAGGTATAAAAACATTAGAAGGCTTAAGGCTGTGAATCAGCTGGATGATTTGAGAAGTTATAGGAAACCTTTTGTCAGCTATCTTTAATAAAGATTTATCTGAGAATGTTTTCTAAGAAACAGCATTTATAGTTATAAATTTTACTCTATATTTTCTCCATTGAACAATCTATAGTACTTGGGAAAACGATGGAATGTCAAGATGGAGAGATTTTAGTGCAAATTTCTCCTTTTCAAGGACACCTTTTAAAATAGAATGATCTCCTTAACTACCCGCTTGATAACAGCCACCATCTAGCTACCAAGAAAGAATGCTTTTCCAGATTTTTCACAATGCCATTTTATAGCTATCAAAACCTTGGGGACTGCTTAGATTTTTTGTGCTGCTGTCTTCTTTTAGGAGCATGAGAAGAATTAGAGGAAGGAAATTTCCCAAAGGATGCCTGTAGCAGCTGTCAGAATTCATAGTCCTAAACTAAGCACCCATCTATAACAATTTAACAAGGTCTAGTCTTAACACATAATATGGAATAACACATGAAAAATTAAATCAAAGCAAGTAGTCCTTGCCTTGACCATTTCACCTTACAATATCATTTCTATTGTGTAATTCTGTTACTCATCAAACTGAGAACTGGTTTGATATATGTAAGAATCTTAGTACTTATGGTTACACATATGCATGATCAAATAGCAATATATTTACTTATAGGACAAAACTTGTGTGACTTTTTAAAGATGTTGGATACATTCTATCACATGCTCAGGAAACCTCTGCAAAGAAACAGCACTGAAATAGGAATACTAGCTATCAAGAAAGGATTTTTTTATGATTCATTATATATGGATGTCTCCACAGATGAATAATAGTAGTTTAAGTTCTTTCTTTATATGTGTATCTTTATGCATAGTTAAAATAAATATACTACCCAAAGCTGGTGTCCGTAAAAAGCCATAAAGTCCATAAAAAGTAGGACAAAAAAAGTAGAATGAAGGATAACAAATATTTTCATATAACTTATAACATTCTTTTCTTTTAACAGTTGGACAAAGCTCTAGAAGAAGTCACAATGCAGCTTCAGGACACACCTGAAAAAACAACATATATTAAACAGAACCACTATCAGGAGCTCAATGATATTCTCAGTATACGCAATTTTACAGAAAGCAAAGGTATGGAATTTATAAGGCCCAATAAAGATTTGGTTATATAAAAGGCATTGGTTCCATGTGTCCCTTATGTGGTAAAACCGAACAAGAGCCAGCCCTATGCTATGATGGCATTATTTTATATAATGTCAGTGAACTTTTGTAGGCACCTCATTAATACAGTTTTACCCAAACAATCTACAAAGGCAATAGTACAGAGATTTTTTGATCTCAATTTCTTTCTCATTCTTGGAACTTAATCCACATTGATTTGCATAACTCAGCTCTAGTCATCTATTTTATTAGTCACCATTCTCATACATTGCTCCCTAATCCAGATCCTGATCTAATATGAGGAAGAGAAAGGAATGAGACCAAACACCTGATTCATCTCCTATATAATACAAAGGAATGAATTTATGAATTAAAATAAAGAGATCTTTAATAAACTTAACTTGAATACTGGGGCATTGAGGTTCAGTGTTGTTGTCTATGGAGATTCTCAATCATCCAGGTAATGGATGTCCCAAAGATGCTTTTCAAAAGGCATCTGGACTTTCTTGTTTTTTTTCCTTGAAAACATTTCGCTTCTCATCAAGAAGGTTCTTCAATTCAACTGAGTTTATTTATAATTCTAATTTTAGACTGTGTGTATGTGTGTGTGTGTCTTTTGTAAATGCTAGTTTGGGGGAGAAATTTCTTCTTTATCTAATTTGTTTATAATTTGTTTCAATCTGAATAAGAAATAGTATTATTTAATTACCACAAAAATATTGTTGTCTAGTTGGAGTTAGGTTTTAGATCAAACGAATAATTTTTGAGAAACAATATTATAGTTTGTAAAATAATTACATTGTTTTGCAAATAATATATTATAGAGAAAAATGCCTCACAGTGTTCCTTTAATAAATGTCTGAAAATATTTTTTTTGTCCAGATGGTGAAAAAACAGTGCTGAAAAATCATCTTGATCAAAATCCACAAGCACAATGGAATACTACAGAGTCGTCCAGAACAAGCAAAGATTTTATAGAAGATATCAATTCCCCAGAACAGTAAGTAAAGTAATTCTTTCTTGCTAAATGTTCACAAGAATTAAAAGTATCTTCATGTTAAATCTGCATATCGATTATACAAAACATGTTCCTTTGCGACAAACTAGTAATTATCTGATAATTTGGGGAAGTCTTAACTTTTGAATACGTCGAGATGGCTTCCTAAAGATCTGAAATGCTTATGCTCATGTATGGAGTATCTTGCTGTATTAAAACAGCCATGCACTAGTATTAATCTTGCCCTGGGTAAGTACCTTTTATATTCCATAAATGAATAAAAAAAGAAACACAAAGCAGGAGGCTAAAATCCACAGAATAACTTAGTAAGACAGGAAAGAATAGAACGTAGGAGGATGTTCTGCTCATTGTCCTGGCTGCAGCTGCGGCTACAGAATCGTTTGAGGTTCTAATATAGTTCCCAGTGGGTGCATCCCAAAGTCGGGGGCCCTTTGCTAGCAGCCCTCCACAGTACTGAATACCTGGCTAACTGTCCTTATCTTTCTGTGTTCTTTCTTCACAGCATACAGCGGCGACTCTCCTTACAGCTGCCCATTCTTCATCATGCTTATTTGCCATCCATCGGAGGAGTTGATGCCAGCTGTGCCAGTCCATGTGTCAGCCCCAGTGCCAGTCCACGGCACAGACATGTGCCACCATCTTTTCGTGTGATGGTCTCTGGCCTGTAGGAGGACATCAGAGCTCCCTGAACTGCTTTTGGTACTCGATGGCTGGACTGAACGTCTTGTGTCAAACTCTTGCCTTCTACATATCCTTACTCTTACCACAGAGAAACTAGTGCTATAAGGCCATTATCAAGGGAGGGCCAGCTCCGCTGCTGGGAAAAAGCATGTGAAGCGGAGAGGTTAGGCAGAGGTTGCTCTGTAGCCTTACTCGTGGACGTTTTTATTTCTTTGCAAAGACCAAAACCATGTTTCTTCTCAAATTTCTATAGGAGGCAAAGTGGCTAAGAAACCTAAACTTGACCAAAAAAAAAAAAATACAACAGACCCCACGCAGCATCCCTAAGCTTTATACTACTACTGAAAATGTGAAACAATGAGAAGAAGAAAAGAAAAATCTCATCAAAAGAGTGCTGAAGCAACTAAAATGGATACCATACCAGGGGTTGCATTCAGCTTCTGGAGACCATAGTTAGTTGGGCTGACCTTAATTCCTGGAACTAAATTCAGTGAGAAAAAGGAGACTTCTAGGAATAATTCCAGCGTCACTGAATCCAGGTCATTCAACTAAAGATACGCTTGGAGAAGAAAATGCTTGGGGGGGGGGAAGCAAATCCAAGGCCAAGGTTTCAGAGTGGCTACAGCAGGCATCCCAGGTTTGGGGAGTGATACTCTTTCTCCTGTTAAGACATTGTGTGCTTGGTTGAATCCTGGGGTGACTTTCTGCAAATAGCAGGAAGCTAGGTCTGACAATGCTTAAGGCTGACGTTTGCTACTGAAATCTTCATTACATAAGGTGGATTTTTCTCCCTGAGTTTGCTTGATTTAAACCACAGCATAATTAATAGTACAGGTAATTGAGCAGATGAGCAAGGGGAGTAGGTTCCTTAGGCACCACACTTTGCTGCTGCAGTTGAATTCTGCAGAATCAGAGATCATACAGACACCACCTTTTGCTTCACATCTGCGTGTGTGAGAGACAGTGGCCGTTGAGAATAGGATAGGCTGAACCAAGTATGCCAGTGTTGGGGTTTGAATTAAAAAAATAAAAGACAAAAAGATAAATATGGTATACAGTAATTTGAAGCAAATTGGTTTTTCTCTCTTGTAGATTCCACCTAAGAGAATAGATTTGATCGATATCTTTCCTGGGAGCAACTGAATCTGCTATGAATTAGAAAGCAACACGAGTGAACTCAAATGAAATGGGCTTCCATCACTTACTGTTAAGATTTGATCCACACATGTGCTGCTTTTATCCTAGTGGTTCTAGGACATCTTGCTAGGATTAAGATTACTGGGCATGCATAATCCAAAGAGAGGCACCTGGGTCCTCTACAATTACATGGCATGGAGAACTTCAGGAGATGCCTTTCTTTCCTGGCCAAACACATGAGAAATGCCACATTGGATGAACTTCCAATTGCTATGTAACTCACAACACCTTCACTGCTGCAGGTTGTGCATTCAATGTGGGAGGGGCTTAAAAACAAGGGTTAAGAGAGCCCTTGCCTTACTGCATCCTAGGACAGTGATGGCGAACCTTTTAGAGACCGAGTGCCCAAACTGAAACCCAAAACCCACTTATTTATTGCAAAGTGCCAGGGCTGCATCAGCATTGTGGTGCCCTCAGGAGGGGCGTGGGGGCATGGCCCACTGGGTGGGTGTGGCTACAGTGGTCACGGCAGACTGGGTGAGTGTGGCCGGGGTCAGGGCAGCGGGGGCCAGTCCCTTGCCATCTCCGGGGCATCCCCGGGGGGCCGCCACTTGCTCACTTCCTGTCCTGTCGCTTCCAAATGCCACATGCTACTATGGTGAACTCTGCTGGGGCAATGGCGCGCGTGCCCACAGAGAGGGCTCTGAGTGCCGCCTCTGGCATGCGTGCCATAGGTTCGCCACCACTTTCTTAGGATGTTTGAGTGAAAGCTCAAGTCTGCACTTTTTCATGCCTCTAGGTTTGTTGATTTTGTTCTTAACTAGTGGAGCTGCTTATGACATACTGTATAGTTCCACCAGTTGAAATATATGTATCGTTTGGGAAGGCATCAATCACAGTCTGTCAGGATCTTGAGCAAGGTTAAATCACAAAGCCTGCTATGATAAAGATGTGCCTAACATGTGAAAGGCACAAAAGCACACTTCAGAGCTTGATTGTTGCAGAAGATGGTCAAAATACCTTTCCCCACCCAAAAAAAACCCTATTCTTCCTTCATCCCAGTAACCTATTGATTCAGAATATTTTGTATTGCTGTTAAAAGTAGCAATAAAATAAAATCTGGCACTGGACCTAAATGATTAGCCAGACAAGAAAAAAACAAACTAAGCCTGTCATATCACTTCCATTTTCCTTAAATGCCATTCTCACACTATAATTGATACCAGTTTGCCAAACTGCACTGCTCAACATTGGAACTGGCCACTTTTTGAAAACCATACATTATAGCTTGTAAAAGAAAGTATGGTGAAGAAGAGGTAGTTTATTTCTATTGCACTTTCTGTTCCCACACAGGAATGAACCTGTTCCACAAATGTCCCTAGAATAGCATTTAGTACCTGCACAAGAAAGAATATGCCAACCCAGTCATTGCCGATGCCGCTGATCCTACCTTCCTGATTATATTTCCTATGAATCTTAATCCCTTGAAGGTATCACAGAAATGCTCCCTGAACACACGTCATGGAGAGGGATCAGGCGGGGATCTGGAAGGGTTAGAACCACAGTGAGTAAATTTACCACAAAGGAAGTAGAACACATTACTCCGTTTGAGCACTAACCACTGAAGGTGTTGTCTGGTGTGGGTGTGCACATGCGTGCACGCACTTGTGCGCGTGCATGTATGTATGTTAACAGTATTCTCTTAATGTATGAATAAACTTCATCAGGACTTTATTTAATACAAATAAATATTACTTTTCAAAAAAGGACAATAATACTGTATATAATGTATACACAAACATTTCTGTAGAAGATATTATTCCAACATAGCAGGAAACAAAAAAAAAAAAAAATCAAAAGTATTGGACTCTTGGCGGTGAGTGTGTGTGTCTGTAACTCTTTGTGACTACTGACTGTGTGCTGTTCCTTAGGTTTAAATCACGCAGTACATTCTTTGTCTAAAATGCAACTGTAGTTTCTCCCACGAGTTTTCTTTTCTTTTCTAATTTCCTGCAGAAAATAAGACCCATAAAATGACTATAGCTATTCAATGTTTCTGGGTTTTTTTTTTATAACCTGCAGCAAAAATGTCCTGTAAAAAATTATGATGAGGCTATGCCCCAATGGCATTTTCCAACAACGACAGTGCACAAATGCTTCAACCCAGACTGGACCAGTAAGAATTATTTTTTAAGAAGCAACAGAGAGGAAGAGTGAGAGAACTTGGAGAATTTCTTGTATACCCCTTATACTGCATGAAAATACATTTTTAATAAATTGTTGCAAAAAAAATCTGTTTTATTAATAAAATAGAGAAAACATAACTACTACTTGGTGATTTCTTTGCTGAATTTTCATATACAGCTTTATGTTATTTTATTTTAATGTACGTAATGTACCACACAGGAAACTTTGTGTATTCTGAATTGGATTTGACTGTATTTGTGCCAGATGATATGTAACTTATATCAGCTGAACTTATATTGTTCATCTTCCTATAGCTGAACTTCTAGAGTGATAAATTCAATATATAAGAAATGAACACAGGAACAAACACAAGAAATATAAGCCAACTGGTGTATTGGAAATGTTTATGAAATACTGGCCATTTTTGTGTGTGTGCATACTTACATGCATTCCTTGGAGGCAGTCAAAAATATAGAACATTACCTTTTATGTTTTCAGATAATTCAGTTTTAGGGGTACAAAAAACAGTCTGGTTCATTTATTATGCACAAGATTTATATTTTTCTTCATCCTTGTTAAAATTTCATTGTTATGATTAATATGTAAGAAGTGATCCATCGGTGTTATCCATGTTAAAATGACATACCACATGGGCAACACAGATACAATAGATATTCAAGGAATTGCTTGCAGAGCCCTCAGGAGTCCAGTTTAGTTAATCAGAGCTATGTTAGGGGGAAATGATAATCGCTCTGTTGCTACTAAAAGTATCAAGTCAGCAAAGTCAACATGACTGTTGATGAGAGCTTAAAATCTCATCCAAGCAATCTCAAAGTTCCTGAGACAATAGCAAGAAGACAACATTGGAAGAAATTGAGATCATTGAGAGAGGGCAAAAAGCACTAACTCTCCGGTATTAATCCTACTCTCAGACTTATTGTGTATTCTAGTCCACAAATAAATTTAATAGTGAAGGAACACGACCTTCTGCTAGGATGAAGGCTTGATATTTTCCCACCTCTCACATGCTATATGTTCTCACGTGCGTGCATGTGTACCTGCATGCACCTATGGGTATAATCACTGCCCAACCTTGTTGTATGTGATGCTTAAAATCATGGATTAAACCTTGCACTTGTTATCAGTTGAAAAAAAGCTGAAACAAATATGAACATACAGGGGTAGTCCTTGTTTAGCAACCCCAACTGGGACAGACAACTCAGTTGTTAAGTGAAATAACCAGAGTGAAACTGCAACTATGCTTGTGAGCTTATATGTTTCTGCTATGCTTTAAAGGTCTGAAAAGCTCATAAACATGAGGATTGGTAGTAAAGTTATTTTTTCATCACTGTCATAACTGCAAATATACTCTAACTTAGGTAGTTGCTAAATCAGGACTACCTGTATGCACCTCAAGATTCAACTTTCACCGTGTGTAGCTGCAATATCTGCAACTAAATACTTAATTATCACTCTCTCCTGGTTAGCCAGATCCTGATTCAACAAAGCACTGTCAAAACCATGAGACAACAATGCCTGTATTTGACAACTGACATGAAGTTTTTACTGTGAAAAGCAAGTGTTTTGTTTCCACCAATCTTGTGAAACATCATATGACCATGCCAAATGTAACTACATCAATTCTACTGTTGTTATTGCGGTCATTAGGCAACACCTTACATGACCA